ACCCGGGCGGAGGGGACACAAAGGCTCAGCAGCTTCCCCACAGGCTGACAGTCTAGAGGGGAGAGAGGAACCCACACAAAACATGCACGCCTCAGGCGGTGTCTTTGATGGAAAAACCAGATGGAGAACAGAACAATTATCTGAGCAAATCGGGCAGGCCTGCTGCTGAGGAAAGGCTTAAGGAAATGTGTTCTATTTCCTTCGTGAACCAAGGGGTTCAGGCAGCCTGGGGAAACAAACGTATTTGGGCTCCAGAAAGACCAGAGGTCTGGTCTGCACTCTGTGATCCCCGACAAAGCAGGAAGCGGCTTTGATTTCAGCGTCCTCAGGAAAGTGGAGATCGAGTAAAACCGACCTGGCCCGAACCTACACCTACTGGCCTGAGTGGCTTTGAGGTGGGACGCACTTACACCGGGGAGAGCGGGCATTAAGTGGGGCAGCCCTAAAGCTAAGTGAGAATGTGCCTAAGAAGTGATTCCTCGGGACCAGCAATTGGAGATGGTCACGTCAGCGGGCTCCCGTGTTGTCACTCATGCCAGGCACGTGTGCGCGCATGCCCAAAATCCCAGGGGGAGAATGGAGAAGAAGGGAGTGGCCATCCCTCTGGGGGGAGATTTCCCACTTTCTGCCTCTCTGTCTCTCCAGTGAGCACATGCACTCTGTAGCAAAAATCTCTCTCTAAAAAAAAAGAAGTGATTCCTTTTGGGTCAGCTGGCAGCATGGTAGTGAAGGCACTGACCCTGGATCCCACATGGCTGACTGTGGTTTGCATCCCAGACTCGGGAGTCGAAAAACATGCCAGGAGCGTTTGTGTGCCCCAGATCCCAAGAGAATGGAGAAGAGCTTGCAGCGTGGCCGTACCCCTGGGTGCTTTCTCACTCTTCCACTCTCTGTGCCTTTCTCTCTCTGGCAAGCACACATGCCCACAGTAAATTAAAAAGAGGGGCGGGGATCTATTTCCCTTAAAAAAATGTTTAGTAACCATAAGTAGCATATTTGTCAGACATTTTTTCTTTTGTTTTTTTTGGAGAGGTTTTTGCTATAGGGTGCGTGCCATCGCCAGACAGACAGAGAGAGAAACAGAGACAGAAAGCGAGAAATCACCCCCCGGGGGGATGGTCACGCCGCAATCCCTTCTCCTCCATTCTCCTCCCGGGATCTTGGGCACGCACGCACACGCACCCGGCGTGAGTTTTAAGCCACCAGGTCCGGGACACGAACCACGGTCGACTACGTGGGAGTCCAGCGACATAGCCATTACGCTAACTGCTGGTTCCCTGTGTCAGACATTTTAAAGTTTCTTTCTTCTGTGAGCGAGAAAGACCGAGACAGCATCCCTGACGGGGTCTTGATGATCCACCCCGGCCTCAGCAAGCCTGGATCAAGGACACACCTGTGCCCAGCGTACTCAGGGGGTGTCTCAGGATGTGAACCCGGAACATTCCCGGGTGAATCCGCCACAGAGAGCCTCACAGTTTATCACTACGCCACCACCTGGCCCCTGTGCCTTTTAATTTACAAGATCATCTTAGGTGCATCTGTTTACTTTCTTATTTTTCAAAACTCCATGGAGTAGGTATTCTCATTTGCTCCTTCTACGCTTCAGGATACTGAGATGGAAAGATTTAAACTACTAGTTGGAGTTTACGCTGTTGGCGAGGGCCAGGTTTCGGCTCTCTGCCTTCTGCACCCTCACTCTTTCACGACACTGCACTCCCTTCCGGGTGAAACCCTCAACACCCCAGCACCGGTGTCACACACACAGATATTACCACTGTTTGTTCTGTAGTCTCCCTCCATCAAGGACAGCCAGACATCGCATTAGAAGCTCTGGAAAAAACAACGCCTGAGATGCAGAAACAGCAAACTCGTTCTCTTCCGGAGGAAAAGTAGCTGTCCCCATCTGATTTACATGTCGTGCCATACAGCAGGAAATATTTAAGTTGACAAATAGGATATTTACAACTGCAACAGCTACTTGGCAGTTAGTTTTTAACAATTGTTGCAAATGTGATTTATTTGCTATTATCAAAGGGCATTACTGTGCGAATATGACTCCTGAAATTAGCTTCCGTTTAGCAAGGGGCCCTGACAGCCTGACCTCTTAATATCCTTATAATGATGCCATTTCCAGTCAGTGCTTACCCCCGTCACTCCCTGCGAGATCCGCTGGAGAGGCGTCCACTCTAGGGCAGATGCGTTATATACTTTAGCACACAGAGCTGGTGAGTGGGGCTCATGTAGACTTTCGACGGGGAGAAAATGTTTAATCAAGTCTTCATGAAAATGTGTGCGTTTCCAACTTCCTACAGTGAAAATGCATTATGGCTAATTACAGCAGCCTCCCAAAAAACAATACTTCATGTTTTCTCCACAAGACGTTTTCATGGCACGGATTATCTTAAACAAGGACATGTTCTGATCCCCCACTACTTCGGCTTGTAATTTGCCTGGAGAATTGGTGTAGGCTGAGGGCTCTGGCTGGGCCGGGATCAGTGCACCCTCCAGAGGGGATAGGAAGCAGGTGCACGTGGAGCCAGGCAGAACTGGCTGAGGATCGCGGCACCGCCGCTTCTCACTGTGTGGATTGGGTGCCTCCCTGAGCCGCTCTCTTCACCTGTGACATGGGCCTGGTGTGTTTTAGGTTACTCTAAAGAGCTGAGGTGTTTGTAAAGCACCAGGTACTTGACATCTGCAGGCCAGTCATGTTTTGTCGCTTCTTGGAGACTGAAATGTCACCTTCGCAATGCAGCCCTGACTTCTCCAGGCTAGCCCAGTCTGTTTGTCCATCATATATCACAAGTCACATGTATTGTAATTAGTTGACTACGTACGTGCCATTCTTCGCTTTTAAAAAATAATTACTTGTTTAAATTTATTAGTTATTATTGTTTTTTTTTTTTTTTTTATAGACACCAG